CTCAGAAAACCCAGAAACCCAAAAAAAACCCCAAAAATCTGTTCCTAAATCACCTTGGGGACCTCAAAACCCCCAAAATCTGTCCCTGAATCACCTCAGAGCACCCAGAAACCCCAAAATTTGTTCCTAAATCATCTCAGAGCACCCAGAAACCCAAAAAAAACCCAAAAATCTGTTCCTAAATCACCTTGGGGACCTCAAAAACCCCAAAATCTGTCCCTGAATCACCTCAGAGCACCCAAAATCCCCAAAATTTGTTCCAAATTAACCTTAGGGGACATCACAGAACCCCCCAAAACCCCAAAATCTGTTCCTAAATCACCTCAGAGCACCCAAAACCCCCCAAAATCTGTTCCTAAATCACTTTGGGGATCTCACAGCACACAAAAACCCCAAAATCTGCCCCTAAATCACCTCAGAACACCCAAAAACCCCAAAATTTGCTCCTAAACCACCATAGGGACCTCACAGAAACCCCCAAACTCCAAAATCGGTCCCTAAATCACCTCAGAGCACCCAGAAAACCCAAAATCTGTCCCTGAATCACTTTGGGGATCTCACAGCACCCAAAACCCCCAAAATGTGTCCTTAAATCATCTCAGAGCACCCAGAAACCCAAAAAAAACCCCAAAAATCTGTTCCTAAATCACCTTGGGGACCTCAAAAACCCCAAAATCTGTCCCTGAATCATCTCAGAGCACCCAAAACCCCAAAAATTTGTTCCTAAATCACCTCAGAACACGCAGGAACCCCAAAATCGGTCCCTAAATCATCTCAGAGCGCCCAAAAACCCCCAAAATTTGTTCCTAAATCACCTTAGGGACATCACAGAACCCCCCAAAACCCCAAAATCTGTTCCTAAATCACCTCAGAGCACCCAGAAACCCCGACATTTGTTCCTAAATCACTTTGGGGATGTCACAGCACACAAAAACCCCAAAATCTGTTCCTAAATCACCTCAGAACACCCAGAAACCCAAAAAAAACCCCCAAAACCTGTCCCTTAATCACCTTAGGGACATCACAGAACCCCAAAATGTGTCCCTAAATCACCTCAGAACACCCAAAAACCCCGAAACCTGTCCCCAAATCACTTTGGGGACTTCAAAGAACTAAAAAAAAACCCCAAAATGTGTCCTTAAATCATCTCAGAGCACCCAGAAACCCCCAAAACCCCCAAAATCTGTTCCTAAATCACCTCAGAGCACCCC